GCTATTTTCTATTTAGGTCAAACCTTTTTGGTGACCCCTCCGATTTCAAATTTAGTGACCATTGGTTTGACCATTTCTTTATGTGTGCTTGCTTGCTTCATGAAAGCATTAACAACATGTTAGCTACATGTTACATGCTGACAAAACGTTCATTTCATGTTGCTACAGTAACACTGCAGCTATTGGAGATATACAACAAAACTACAAAAAGTTTAGCCAGAAAATAACAACAACTCATTTGGTATTTAAGAATAGAATACATTTGTTTGGATATATACACTTCTAGTCATAAGTTGCTTATGGTTCCTTACAGTTTAACCCATTTTCCACAGAATACAGAACTGCAATTGAATATGGAATTGAATAGAAAAAGCTACAAGAGATAACTTCTCTGTGGGACTTATCAACTGCTCACTCACAGATTCTAATATATTTCCAATAAGGCTATTCACATGAAATTTTCACCAGACTTTCATATTAACTCCAGAAATCTACACATATAAAGAAATCCAAACATTAAAGTCTATAAATAAAGTTATGTGTAATAAAGAGAAATGACACGGGAAAAAAAGGATTGAACACGCTAACTGAACATGCTAATTTCATTCTCAGTTGCCTTTGTTCAGTATGACAGCTTCAGGAAACTTCCTGTATGAAGAAATTAATGGGCTGCAGTATTCAGGTGTGATTTTGGCCCATTCTTCTAAACATATTGTCTTTAAATCTTGAAGATTCTGGGAAGCCTTCTTGTGAACCTTGATCTTTAGCGCTTTAAATAAATGTTCGATTGGATTCGAGTCAGGTGATTGACTGGACCATTCTAACACCTTGATTGTTTTTCTCTGAAACCAATTGAGAGTTTCCTTTGCTGTATGCTTTGGATCGTTTTTCTGCTGGAAGGTCCACCCACGTCATCCTGGTGGATGGCAGCAGATTCTCAGGAATCTCCCGGTAAAGGCCTCCATTCATCGTTCCTTCAAGTATATGAAGTCTGCGAGTACCATGTGATGAAAAACAGCCCCACACCATGATGCTTCCATTTCCAAACTTCACTGTCGGTGTAATGTTTTAGGGTGATGTGCAGTGCCAGATCTTCTCCAACAATGGTGTGTAGTATGACAGCCAAAAATGTCAATTTTGCTCTCATCTGACCAGACTACACTCTCCCAGTATTTCATAAGCTGGTCCAAATGAGTTGTAGCAAACTTTAAACAAGCTTTAACATGCCTTTTCTTTAGTAATGGAGTCTTGCGGGGTGAGCGTGAGCAGTGGAGTGCATTGCCCATTATTTTCTCTGTGACGATGGTACCTGCTGCGTCTAAGTGTTTCTGGAGCTCTTTCCTTGGCTCTTGGGCTACTCTTCTGACTATTCTTCTGACTCCCTGGCCAGTAATCTCGCAAGGAGTTCCTGTGCATGGCCGGTTGATGACGGAGTGATGTTGCTTCCACTTGTGGATAATGGCTCCCATTATATTACTATATAAAAGTTTTGAAATACGTCTGTGTCCAATTCCATCAACATGTTTCGCAACAATAAGGTTTTGGGAGAGCTCTTTGCTTTTACCCATCATGAGATGTTTCTTATGTGACAGCTTGGTACAAAAAGCCTTTTTTTAGACCATCAATTTACTAACCCAGCGGATATTATTTTGCATAGATAGGGGGTATAATTACTTTCTAACTAGTTACAGATTTCAACTGGTTCCTTACCTTGCCTTGGAGAACTGCCTTTTCTTAGCATCTTCAATACTTTTTTCCTCTTTCATTCCACTTTATTACACATAACTTTGTGGATTTCTTGAGTTAATACTGATGTCTGGTGAACATTTCATGTGAATAACCTCATTGGAAATATATTTACTGAAAAAAATGTTGACGCGCTCGATACTTATTTCTCCCACTGTATCTATTCTCTTCTCTAATGAGGTCATCGACTTAGTGCATATTATTCTCCAGTGTAGGGAATAGGAAGCAAGCTGGCACTTGGAACACAGCATAGAAAACTAAGGCACAGGCAATACTCATGCAAATGTTCTTACACACACCCTTTGATTTTCCTACTGTTTAATAAATGATTGTTCATGTTCATTAGCGAAACTGAGCCGAGCTCATAAAGCTGCATGTTGGAAAAAATTATTTTTTTGTATTGTTTTATAATGAGGCTGCTCTCCCAGACGAAGCAAACAGAAAGAAAACGAGTTGTAAGTCACATGACTTTGTGTGTTCGGCTCGTTGAAGTGCCTTTTGTAAAGTGAAAAATAAAACTGCTCCATATGCACCAGATAAAGGCTACTGTCAGGGGCAATGAGGAAATTCACCATGGGAATTCAACAGCTACAGGGACGAGTATGCCTGTGTGTGTGTGTGTGTGTGTGTGTGTGTGCGTGCATGTGTGTGTGTGCGTGCTTAGACGGATCAAATTTTCTCCAAATATAGTTATATATAGTGAAAAAAAAACACTTGACAGAGAAAACTGGAGTCTGTAAAAATAACCTCTCTAAAATGAAACCTAAGCCCTTGAAGCGGCCCTATAAACGAGTGTGTAATTTCTGTTTGCACTCAGCAATGAGCATCACTTCCAAATTCAATTTGTTCCCTTTGGTTCATTACTTGGGTGTATTGAGGAAGCTGCTGCTGACACAATTTTATGCATTTCTTTGTAAAAGTAGTCTCGTTTTCAAGAGAAAAGCAATACAAACTATATCTATGTAGTAAAAGTTCACTGGCAGACAAAAGTTTTTGAACACTCTATATTTAGGAATTTTACGACCGCGTTAAAATATGCTAGAATTTCAAAATCTAACCGAGGTATAGATAGAAGTAACTACAGATATGTTTATTATTACTTGTGTAGTGAACTGAGCAATGTTTTAGATGACTTTATTTTACTGGAATAATCTATTAGATATAATCTAACCCAGGCCATTTTCAAACTAATTAGGCACTTTAAGCACACCACACATATATTTGCAATCAAAACCCCATTGCAAATCAGGTTAATTGTCAAAACGTTCCGCTGTTTGTGATGAACAAATCAAACAAAAGCAATTAAAATAGTTCGACACGACGAATACTTCAAGTGGTTTCCCCAAATTCAACTGAAAATGCAACTTATAATGACTTTTCCAGTCTCAAAATTATTCAACCCCTTCATGGCAAGCATCTTTAGTACTTACTAGAGCACGCCTTTGCAGTCCATCTTCTGGCAGTGTTCCTGAGGAATCTTATCCCGTTCCTCATGAGCAATGGCCTCCAGTTCAGTAATATTCTTGGGCTGCAACCGCCTTCTTCAAATCCCAGCAGAGATTTTCTATGGGGTTCAAGTCAGGTGACCGTGATGGCCCTGTAGAATCTTCCAGAACTTCTTCTGCAACCAAGCCTTGGTGGAATTTGAGGTACGCTTGGGATCATTCTCCTGTTGGAAGATCCAATGACGCCGAAGCTTCAGCTTCCTCACAGATGGCATGATGTTGTCTCCTATTATTTCCTGATAATTCAATGAATCCATCTTGAGTTCCACACGCTGCAGGTTTCCAGTGCCAGAGGATGCAAAGCAGCCCCAGAGCATCACCGAGCCACCACCATGCTTGACTGTGGACAGAGTGTTTTTCTTCATTCTTCTTCCTCCAGACATGCCGCTGATCCATCGTATCCTATCTGAAAAGTTCCACAGAACAGAATCGCAAAACTTCTGTGGCCTATTTATATGAATTTGAGCAACTTTTCTTGTGCTTTTGGGTCGGTAGTGGTGTACGTCTTAGAGTTCTGGCATGGAAATCTTCTGTGTTTAGTATGCGGCTTACTGTGCTCACTGAAACCTCATTGGCTGTTGCCACCAAGTCTTGCTGCAGGTCTTTCCACAACCTGACTTCTCAAAAATCAGGTTGCAGCCATTTTTCTGCCCCGTCCAGGTAGTGTACACTCAACAAACTCTTAGCCAGTTCAGGTATCTCATGTATTCGGGCTCAAACACACCTGGTGCAAATGTGTGCTGTTGTGAGGGATTCTATTCAGGCGGTTTATAATTTTTAGAGAGATTTATAGAATAATTTTGAGACTAGAAAAGTCATTATAAGTTGCATTTTCAGTTTTGGGGAAATCACTTGAAGCATGAATTGCTTTAAGTAGTTTCAATTGCTATTTCAATTGCTTTTGTTTGATTCGTTCATTGCAAACAGCTTTTCTGCAAATTTCCTGCAGATCTGGGCCAAGATCTGTGATGTGACATCATCACAACATGCATTCCGCCAAAGCCCCCTTCGATTCACGCGTGTCGAACACGAGTACAGCTAAACGGTCTCATTTACCAACAAACATCACTGGGAAAGCGCGGGCAAAACATTGTGCGCAATTGCAATTTTAAAAATGTATAGAAAAAGCCACAGCAAATGTGTTTGGATGTGTATACACACCTAATCAATGGTTTCTTAAGGTTTATTACAATTGTATCTAATTTACACAGAATACTTAATAGCAGTTAAATACAGAAAGCTAAAATCAATACTTTCTTATAGTACTAATAAGTTCATAGAGAGGTCTTGTTCCCCTAGGTGTGTCCCTAGTTTCCTGTTTTAAGTGCTGAATCACATTTGCCTGCTTTCCTCATTCCTGACTGTGGATTTGTTTCATTAACTCTGCATGCATAAGGACAGCTACTTCAGATATTAAATGTCCAATAACCCAACTGCTTAGTATATGCATCTCAGCCCTGATTCTAACTCCTGCTCATTATATTGTGCACAGGACACACAAGGGGGAGAACACTAATAAGAATAGATATTTTAGTGAACAACTTCTAGACTTGAATGTTTTAAACTAAAATGCTAATAATAATAGCGCTATCCCGATGGGATACATTTCCTATTTTATAGTTGCTCCTCCTTCGGACTTTATTAATATCAGGATCGGCCATGTCAGTGTTTTTCTCAGGCTTCTCTGAAAAAAATGACAAGCGGAATAACCTGTTTTTTCTCCAATCTCACTGGTTGTCTGATTATTAAGGCAGTGGTAGCACAGAGGTTAAGATGTTGGACTACTGCTTGTAAAGTTGTGAGTTCAAATCCCAGCACTGCCAAGCTGACACTGCTGGGCCATTGCTTGAGCAAGGCCTTTAACCCTCAGCTAATGTACTCCGTTGGATAAATGTAAGTCGCCCTGGATAAGGGCGTCTGCCAAATGTCTGATCAATTTAGTCCCGTCCAGATGCACATGTCCATGATTTTCTATGCACTTGTTGCTTCTCATTGGAGAAAGAAAGATGTTGGAGTGCTGTTCCTTGCCGTATTTTGTCTCGTTGCGCACGTATCCATGCCCCTTCCGCAGATATTAAACACTTCCCGAGTCGCGACACAAAAAATGGATGCATATGTGATTCTCATATACATTGTGATTATTGTTTTACTGTATTTTATAACTGTTGTTGGAACTTTAGTGAAATAAGAGCCAGTGTTTCTTCCACCACTTGGAAACCATGTTGTGAATGGAGCGTGATCCTACGACGACGTGATGCAAACATCCAGGTTCATAGAAAAGACAAAAAAAAACAACCCACTAGAAACTTCCTCTCCTGTGGTCATTTTATTGCTGTCCGGACGTGGGATTTTTGTTATAGCTGAGGAGACGTATATCCAAAAGCAAACCTTTATGTGGGAATTAGTGTTTCTGGCAATAATTCACATCATCATTGTTCATATTTACACAAGGAGACAACAACGGTTGCAGTTAAATGGTTATAAAATCTAAAGACAGACCGAGACCATAGGACTACCATATGAAAAAAGACTACAAGAATAACAATACACGCAGTGATCTGCTCAGGAAAAGCATCCAGAGTCGATGAATCTCCTCACACTCTTCACATCTACGTAATGAGATCACGACATGGTCAGCCTAAACTCATAAAGGGCATTAAGAGCTTTCTCCAGTTCAGCGCATTCTAACTGCAGATATGATTAGCCCTTTGCAGTGCTATCGAGAAGAGTGTTATAAGTACAGTAAGTCCTGAGGTGAAAGGCACTCATGAAATGAAAAGCCTGAGGTGATAAATCGTGCTCTAAAACGAACACTTACACACTCGGAGCGAAGATGAAGAAGGAAGAAGAAAAAAAAAGCAAAAAAAAAAAAAGACAGCAGTCTTGAAGAGCGTTGTAAAAATAACCCCTCTGAAATGAAACCTAAGCCCTCGGAGCGGCTTTATAAGCGAGTGCGTAATGTCTGTTTGCAGTCAGCGATGAGGAGTCGCTTCCCAATTCAATTTCCTGTCTTCGGTTTATTAATCGAGTCTGTTGAGGAGCCCACGGCTCTACGCGTGTTCAGTTTAATCAATAACCTAAATGTTTCATACACTTCCTGAGTGCCTACTTAATATGTCGCCATTCTGGGCATCCATTAAAAATTGCCATGAGTATGTGTGTGGGTTCTGAGGAGAGCTCGACCCGTCGGCTTATTAGGCACATATCGCTGCACTGTACCATACTGTGCCTTTCGATAGGTATGAAACACCCTTGGACACAAATTAAAAAGGTAAACTATTTTAGTCAATCAGATCCAGATGTTCCCCATCCCATAATGTCTTACATCCTTAGTTGTGATGATAAAATTTCACCACACACTCATTGAGCATTTTATTCAAACCACAAATGACATCAATTCTGTTTTGAGACAGGTCCAGGAGGACATTGTGAGGACATTGTAGCCACTAATGATATTTTGAGGAGTAAATACCGTATATGATAAAGAAGTGAGGACCAAAGACGTAATATATCAATGACATTTCCGACTAAAGACAGATGTTATACTAACTAAAGATCGTGCAGACTGAAGACCCAGAGATTAAAGACATTGAGTGGGCGGATACATTATAGGCACTGTAGAGGCAAGGACTAAATAATGACCATAGAAATTGAGGGGACTGAAGTTCTGGTGAACAGAATGATTGTGTCCATTAAAGATGATTTGGGGACTAAAGACATCATGGGAAATGAAGACACTGAGGAGACTAAAGAGCTAGTAGACAATAAAGACACCATCAGGACTGAAGAATCTGTGAGGACAATAAAGTCTTTTTTTTGGAACTTAACCACTGAAGTATATGAGAAAGTGTAATTATTTAATTATCTATTAATTACATTTTATGAAATAGTAAGTGCCTCATTTTACTTTCACCCATGTGGAAAGATTCAGTGTGTGTGTGTGTGTGTGTGTGTGTGTGTGTGTGTAGGTGACTTTCACTGTTGTGAAGTCTTAGTGTGAAACGTCAGTAAAATCAGGCTATCACTGGGAAACGGGCACAAAATTATGCATCATAATTCTTCGGGGCTAAGTTTGTTGTTGTTCTGGACTGAAACTGGGGCAGCAGAGTGTGTGTTCAGCAGCGCTGAAATGTGTGTGTGTGTGTGTGTGTGTGTGTGTTCAGTTACAGCAATGTTAATTGGTGTGTATGGAGTACATGACAATGTAGTGATGAGCTTCAGGCTGCACTGACTAACACACACACACACACACACACACACAGAGAGAGAAAAAGACAAAAAGATACTGATGCAAAAAGAGATACTGGGAGAGAGAAATAGTTAAAAAGACTTGAGAAAAAAAAGAAATGAACATGAAAAATGCGAAAAAACCATTGGTGCAAATGGGTGAAAGAATAACAAGGAAAAATAACAAGATAAGACAGAGGAATACATTTTAAAAAGACAAAAGGTGAAAAAGAGGACTAGAAAAGGGAACTCAAAACAGAAAGAACGAGGGAAATTAAAAGATTCAGGGATTGACGGATGGAAACAACAAAAAGAGCATGCGAAATTATAGATAAAGGGAACGTGGAAGAATTAGGGAGAACGTGAAGAGAATAAAGAAGAGGAAAAGAAAGATGGAGCGAGGAAGTAGAGGGGGGAACAGATGATACGTCAGAGAAGAGAGAACTGTGACAAAGAAGAAAGAGAAAGCGAGATGGAGAGAGATAGAGAGAGCGTAGGCCAATGTAGAAGAAGAGAATGGGGTGATAGAGTGAGCACTGGAGACAGGAAATGAATGAGGAGTGAGAAGGAGAGAGAGGGATTGAGAGAGACGAGTGTGCGCTTTGACCTGCTGAACTGAGTGAACAGAGTCATTCACATCGAGTGCAGCGCTGACAGCCTGACAGCCGTGTGTGTGTGTGTGTGTGCGCTATAGTGTTATATCAAGCACTGAGTCATATGCAAAGGCATATAGTGTGTGTGTTGAGGCCATGAAATGAGCAATGAAGGTCATACTTACCACACAACCATTCAGGCTATCCAATTTATAACGCCATTAAATCGTTTCGTTTGAATACATTTGCATATGTATGAGTCTGTAATGCGACACAGCCACAGGCATACCACAACACTACTGAATTCTCCATTCTGACTGGTCGGAAGGTGTTGATTCATTTTCTGAAACAGCAGCTCAGACAATGTTTTTGGTTTTTGGCCAAGACAAATCACAGGTTTATATTTAAAGCGCTTGTTCAAATCCATCCATCCATCCATCTATACCGCTTTTTATTTTCAGGGTCACGGGGAACCTGGAGACTATCCCAGGGAGCATCGGGCACAAGGTGGGGTACAACCTGGACAGGGTGACAATCCATCACAGGGCACAATTACACAATGGACACTTTAGACACGCCCGGAGGAAACCCCGCAGCACGGGGAGAACATGCAAACTCCGCACACACAGGGATTCCCACGATGGGAATCGAACCCCCGACCCTGGAGGCGTGGAGCGAACGTGCTAACCACTAAGCCCCCATGCGCCCTGCTTGTTCTAATATGCTGTCAAATCTATAGTTATAAACTTACACAAGGCCTTGAATGGAGAACGTTCCAGATAATCACGTAAGATAATGTGCGTAATTATTGATATAGTTTTCTGTGAGGTTAATTAGTCTCCAATGCCAGTGCTTTGCATCAGTTTTCCAACATTTAGGACAGAGAGGTTTAGACTTTGTAGTGTCTTCGTAACTTGACAAGCGGCGATGTTTCGTCTTGTTAGCTGTCTAATGAAGGAAACAGAAAGGCAGACGAGGGAACGGCAGTTTACAGCTGTTATAGCATAACCTGTTTCACAGACTTTCATGAAGATGTAAGCGTAATTATAAATGGATCAAATGTATGACGTGTCAGTAGCTAGGTTTCCATCCAAATCGCGAATGTAATTTATGCGGAAAATTGGAATATCGCATGAAACGTTTGAGGATAAAGCATGCGTTTCCATCTCATGTGTTCAAACAGTCACTTCCGGGGAAACTGGCGCGACGCCTCAATACAAACAGAAGTTGTTGCAACCGACGGACTTTTCTGAGCCCATTATCCAATCAGATGATTTGGTGAGGCAAAGTCACATGACTTTTCCAGTTTATTCGGTAAATACGTGTCCATTGTAGTCTATGCGCATGTCTTCGTATCAAATAAAAATATGATCCGCCTCAATAGATCGCACAAGTTTTGTATGCGCATTTTGGAGATTTTATCCCAGAATTTGCATAGAAATATGGTGATGGAAACATAGCTCGTGCTTAATAAACTAAAACAATGCAGATATTGGCAAAGTGCTTTGGTTTAAGAAGAAGAAAACAATGTACGATGTGCCGTTATAGGAAAATAATAATAAACAGCGCTTCAATGTTAGGCCTGCCATTGATTAACTGCCTATAACACAGCACACCTTTGTGGTTTTCTTCCGTATATAGACCACAAAAAGAAAAAAAAATGTGTTGCCTTTTAAAGCAGATATCACAAGGAGACAAAATCCTAATTTATACATAAAAAAGGAAACATTTCCCGTAGTAATATTTGCTTGCTGTTGCTATTTGACTGATTTCAGAGCCATGTAAAGATATTCTCTACATTGAACATCTGTATGCAAGACTCATTATTTGCTTAAGCCTTTAAACCATCCATCCATCCATCCATCCATCCATGTTCTACCGCTTACTCCTTTTCAGGGTCACGGGGAACCTGGAGCCTATCCCAGGGAGCATCGGGCACAAGGCGGGGTACATCCTGGACAGGGTGCCAGTCCATCGCAGGGCACAATCACATGCACACTCTC